GGGGGGGGGGGGAGGGGGAAGAGAATCACGTTCTAGGTGTCTCACCCAAAATTACTGGAAATGTTTGACCTTAGGAAACGGAGGCACAGAAAGATTTTCTATAAAATGGGGATTAAAACCCCCTCGTCTAACAGACATTTGTGAAAAAAAGTTCATGAAGTACTCAGATAACATAGGGGTGAGCACCATGGAAAAAAATCCATGAGGAAATTAATGATTCGGTCTTCTGAAGAAGTTTGAATCGAGTGCAGTAAGCAAGGCATGGGGCCATCCACTGAACGAGGGGGAAAAAATATTGACTAGCTGCTCATTAGGTCAACAATGTCCATCCTGTGCACTGAATGAAGCAGGGGTCCTGTGGGGGAGAAAAAAATAAAATAAATAAATAACAGTAAGTCATCTAAATTAACAAATCTATTATAATGCAGGAGCACAAAGAGATCAGATTAAGTTTGCACAGGCAGTCTCAGTTCTGACATTTCCTAATTTATGAGGGCTTGATTTTGCAACCTTAATACTCTTTGAATGTAGTTTGTGTGTGATTAAATATTTATATTGCAGTAGAGCCCATAGACTAACCACAGACTCCCGGACTCCAAGGCCAGAAGGGACCACTGATCTTCTAGTCTGATCGGTATATAACAGGCCCCTAGAACTCCCCCAAAATAACTCCTTTTAAAACTACTAGAGCATCTCTCAAACATCCAACCTGATCAGGGCCCTACAGTGCTAGGAACTATACAAAGGGGCATAAATCTTCCTCTAGAGAGCTTAGAGTAAGTGACAAACAGCATGGAGGCAATCAAATCCATACATTTGTATTTTGTTAGAGTCCAGTATTGTCATCTATCCCTCAACCTAACCATCAATAGCTGAAAAAAATTCACAGGTATTGCAGCAGGCAAATGATTTCCAGGATAGGGTGTACTTATTACATGTTTTCCATTTACTCAACAGTACCTCAGAAGCAAGATTAGAATTTACCCATGTGTTGGTCAGGAATGTACTACTCTGGGGGGCCTCATTGTGGCAGGCCCTGTACGCACATTGAGTTCCGCCCAGAGGGCTCAGAATACACAGACAAGGGGTGGAAGAAGGTGGATATCTCCATTTTACAGATCGGGAACTGAGGCAGAGATTAAGAGGGAGATTTTTCAGTCACAAAATGGTAATTATGTTCTTAACCGCCATTTGCACCTTTGAAAAATCTCCCCTTAAGTAACTTGCTCCAGGTCAAAACAGTAAGTTCATGGCAGAGCCATAGAATTGGGCCTCCATCTACCCAGTCCCAGTCCAGTATCTTAGCCAGACAACCATCTATCCTCCCCAAAGAAGAGTAGTGCAATTGATCCATGAGGGCTAATTCAAGGTAAATTACATTAGCGGGGTGGGAAGCTTGCCTGCATACCAGACTCTTAAGCAAACTGAATTAATTTAAAAAGATGTGGATTAGACATTGCCATAAGACAGCCAGAGAAAGTGTAACAGTTATACTAGAGAAGAGTTCAAGTTGTTGCTCAGGTACAATCATAAATGCAGGGAAACTAAAATGAGAAACAAGTATAGGCCCCAGTCCGGCAAAGACTTACATACACATGAGTAGTGGGGCCTAAAGTTATGCCCATGCGCAAATCTTTGCATAATCAGGGGCATTATTAAAAAGCAGCATGTGACACAGTGCACAATTCCTTTAGAGCAGATACTATCAAAATAATTCTGCTGTAACATGTTGATTTTTAAGCAGCTTGTGCCAGGTGTTTATTTGTTCAGTTTCATTATAGTTTGGCTTTAAACGGTTACTTTAATAGCTAACAAGACACCAGTGTCCACCACCCTATGTAATCCGCTATAAAAAACAACAACATCCAAGATGATAATTTATGCAAAATTATCAGGCCAGTGTGAGCAGTCCAGCTGTCATCCCTAAAAAGGTCTTCCCAAACAAAATGAAATTGCACAGTATCAGAAAGCTTAGATGCTCTTTCCCTCTCTGTTTTAGGGAGGTTTAAGGTTCACATATGTAAATAAAGCATTAAACACATCACAGCTTAGCATATTATGCAACACAGTGAAGTGATTTTAAAATGATTTTTTTTAAATCAAGGTTTTAAATTTTAAATCAAGTTGAGGCTTTGTAAAGTTAATTTGAAAGTGTTATCGCAACTTTAGTTCATTATACATTTTAATCTACATTATAATTTTTTTTAAATGCCAGTACCAGTAGTAGAACCTTATTTTAATTTACCAGACTATTATACATAAAACAAAAATGTAGCAAGTTAAAAGTTCTGACACTATAAACACTTATTGTACACATTCTTAACTTTACTACCCACCCATTGAGGCCTCAGGCAGATATTTAACTTTACTCACAGGGATAGTTCCATTGATTTCAAATTGGACTATTTACCTGCTTAGTTAGACATATGTATATTTAGAGCATCAGGTACAAATTGTTGCTTCAGTGTTAATGAAAAGTTAAACATTCAATATTAGTTATTGTGAACTTTTTTCCAAATACACACAGGATAAAATATGCAAAACTACTGGCATAGAATTGGGCTCCTGAACCCCTGTTAGGTACTGAAAAGTGGGATTATCAAGGAGGCTTAAGTGATTTGCTTTAACTTTCATGACTGTCACTGTGCAGATGTGCCCTTAGGAAGGTCTACACTGCAATTAAAAACCCACAGCTGGCCTGTGCCAGCTGACTCGGGCTCAAGCCTGTTTAACTGCAGTGTAGATGTTCTGGCTTGGACTGCAGCCTGAAGTCTGGGACCCTCCCACCTCACAGCAAACTAAAGAAAGGAGTATTCAA